TACTCATAAACTAAAAGAGGGGGGACACATCTAATTGCTATAATTTTGAAACATCATGACAGATTATTAAAGCAGCTGAGAATCTAATAAATACATTTGTGTTTTTATGAGAAATTATGAAAATTAGACTCAAGATAAAACAATTGCTTTTGCTTTTTTTTTAATCTAAAGAAACTCATAAAAATCATATCATAATATTAACAAAAATATATATGGGGTATATCAGCATCAATATTGATACCATATATCCAAGGCAACTTATCATAGAAAATAAAAATTCAGACATGAAGGTATGACCAATCCTCAAATAGTATAGGAGGTACAGGTCCTAAAATTATAAGGCAGTATGGATTTCAGAATCCAATCATAGTAAGTTTAAGACAACTAAAAAGGGTAGATTTTTATTTATTTTTTAATGCATAAAAGCAATGGAGAGCAAAGGAGTGAAAAATTACCACGCCATGATGCAGAGGATGGAATCCCAGGTTATTGGGAGATTCCTCTGTTCCTGGTTATGGACGGAAACAGTATTTTGCAGGAAGAAGGACTGACATCTAGGCTCACCAAAGGCTGGTGAGCCAAGTAACAAAGACTAATAGTGACATGGAAAGTCCTTCAAGAGACTGAAGATCTCCTTTGAATCAACCTTATCGCTAAAAATGCTTAAGGTACTACTCCCCTCAGGCACACAGCAGAATTTAATTTGTTTTTATTTATCTTTATTGTTGAAAGTCTTACAGATGTCCCTCCATTTCCCCCACTGACACCCCACTCCTGCCCCCTGCCTTCCCTGCACTGTTGTCTGTGTCCATTGGTTATGCAGACACGCGTGTAAGTTCTCTGGTTTATCTCTTCCGCCCTCTACCCGCCTTCCCTCTGAGGTTTGGCACTCTGTTCCCTACTTCCATGTCGCTGGATCTATTTTGTTCATTAGAACTGAACTCTTTTTGGAAAAAGATTCCATTTAAGGTCTCAAACTATCTAAAAATAGATTTGCAGCTATGATATCCAGTAAAAAATGAAAAATAACCAGGCTTGGCAACTGATAAGAAAACAAGACAGGAACCAGGGGAAACAAAGGATCATATAAATAAAACCATGGGAATTCAGATATTATCTGGGAAAAGACACAGGCTTCAAAGTATTAATTTTAACATGGAAGAAGATAACTGACAAGATTAAAAACTTGCCTAAGAAACTGGAAACTATAAAAGACAATCAGAAACTATAATGAAGTTAAGACTTTATAAAACCAGACAACAATAAACACAATAAAATGAAAATGCAGTAACCAAAATTAGGAACTAAATAGATGAGATTACCCGTCAATTAGACACAGTGAAAAAGAGAAAAGTGAACTGAAAACAGGTCAGAAGATAGGAGGAAAAATAAGAAAAAGACATAAAACATGCAATGTTTTGAAGTTCAAAAGAAGAAGACAGAGAGGTTGGAGAAGCAATATTTGAAGAATACCGGCAGAACTTCCTGAAACCCTTAATGTGATAAACGGGAAAAAAATAACTAAGCACGTCCCAGTAAAACTGGTTCTCATAATCTCAATTTGCCCAACGCTTTCAAGAAAACTCATGAATTTTTCATTTGCCAAGCTTTCATTTCTTTCATCATAAAGGTCGGAGTGAAGCTCTTTCCAGCTCTCAAAATCCTTGAGCAAACACTGAAAATTCTCCAACCATGTTCATTTTCACTTGTTTGCTTCCCTGTTTACTATAGTCTCTACCCAGAACAATTGAATTCCTCCTTCAAGTTCCAGCTCAGATACCCTCTGCGCAAACTTCCCTTATCCCTCCAAGATGAATTATCCGCTCCCTATTCAGGGCTCCATCAATACTTTCTTCATTCCATTTCATTAAATACATTTATTGAACACTGCCATTGTGCTCTTGATGCAATGGTCCCCACAGAATTCCACTCTGATACAGGATTCAGGCAAGTACACAGGTAATGCAAGGAACAAATTAACAAATGGGCTGAGAACCAATTTCAGGTCGGGAAGTTATGAAAAATATACAAGAATATGTGATTGCCATCTACATACTTAGAGCTGAACAGAAATTATCCTGAAGGATTGATAAGCATCTCAAATCACGAATGTAAGAAATCAGTATATTTAGGCTAGTGTCTTCACTGCTACTTTGAAAGGTCCTTTAAGCAAAAACTATGTGTTATTTACCTTCATTAAGGGGGTAATAGTGCCAAGCACCCCCTTAGTCACCGTGTGCTGATGCAAATGACGGGCTCTGCTGCCTAACAGGAGCATTCTGCCCGGGCCAGCGCACTCTGGGAAATCATTGCTGTAGGAATAATGGCCCATCTTTCATTGCCCCCCACACTCAAAAGCTAAATAAACAAAACAAAAAAGCAGTGACCGTAATTCTATCTACCAAATACACTTTACAAATGAGTAGTCCCATTTTTCCTCTGCTTATAAAAAGTCGTAAGTAAGCAACTGAGGAAATGTCCTTCCATCACTCAGAACTATAGAATTTGCTTCTCAGTGTTTCACGCGTCTGCCAAACCCCGTGAGCCCACTATCTGAGCGAGAAGCCAGACTCAACGAAGAGAAATCCGCCCTCTGATCCGGAGGAGAGCGATGCTCCCAAGCTCTGCACCCACGAGCACGTCTGGGGACAGCCGGCCGCCGAGCAGGAGTGCGCACAGGGCGGCAGCCGCGCCCAGCTTCGAGGTGGGTCTCAGATCACACCCAACACCCAACAGCGCTGATGTCGCCAGGACCTGCTGCGGAACTCATGCCGGGCGGGCTGGGAGGGGACAAGCACACAGAGCAAAATGGAAGTGCAGGGCTTTGGTTAAAAATGTATTAAGAATTTTAAGATGGTGACAGCAGAGCTTGAAGGCAGCGTGAACCCTCGTGAGCGTGAAGCCTCGTGAGCGGGAACCCTCGTGAGCGGGAAGCCTCATGAGCGGGAGGGAAGCCTCGTGAGCGGGAAGCCTCGTGAGCGGGAGGGAAGCCTCGTGAGCGGGAAGCCTCGTGAGCGGGAAGCCTCGTGAGCGTTAACCCTCATGAGCGGGAAGCCTCGTGGGCGGGAAGCCTCGTGAGCGTGAAGCCTCGTGAGCGTGAAGCCTCGTGAGCGGGAAGCCTCGTGAGCGGGAAGCCTCGTGAGCAAAAACCCTCGTGAGCGGGAAGCCTCGTGAGCAAAAACCCTCGTGAGCACGAAGCCTCGTGAGCGTGAAGCCTCGTGAGCGTGAACCCTCGTGAGCACAAACCCTCGTGAGCACGAAGCCCTTGTGAGTGTGAACCCTCGTGAGCACAAACCCTCGTGAGCACGAAGCCCTTATGAGTGTGAACCCTCGTGAGCGTGATCCCTCATGAGCACAAACCCTCGTGAGCATGAAGCCCTTGTGAGTGTGAAACCTCGTGAGCGTGAAGCCTCGTGAGCACAAACCCTCGTGAGCACGAAGCCCTTGTGAGTGTGAAACCTCGTGAGCGTGAAGCCTCATGAGCACAAACCCTCGTGAGCACGAAGCCCTTGTAAGCGTGAAGCCTCGTGAGCGTGAAGCCTCGTGCAAACACGGAGGCCACACGCCCGTGAAGCTGGCCCTGGCCCTGACCCCAGTGACCCCAGTATCGAAGTCCCGCAGGCACCTCTGTCGTAGAGCATAGAGCTCGGACGTGATCCCGTCGCTAATGAGACCAAATACCTTCCTGAATAAGGACTTCCCCATAACCTCATGCTCTGGCCTCATTTCTAAGTTTAGAGATCACGAAGAAGAAATAAAAACTGGTTCTGCTCACCCCTTCTCTGAACTTGAAAACCTATGATACCTCAGTAACTAGCCAAAGACATAATCATCTAACTTGAAATGTTTAGGATAATTCTACAGCAAAAAAACATATTTCTTCTCAATAAAATAAATGATCATTTTCCATGGTTAACAGACTTCTTTGGATATAATTTTTTGTATATTTCTAGTTTTAGAAACTTTTATTGATTTTTTATCACGATAATTATAGTTAGCATCTAGGTCTGTGTCAAATACAGCACATTTATATCTAATATAAACATAAGCGTTGGCATATGTGCAATTCGAAACTACAAAAACACTTTAATATATGAAGTGCATGAATAAGAATGAAAAAAAAACATTTCAACAATGTGGAACAACTGCTTCTTAAAGTTATTTTGGGGAAGGAAATAAATCTTGAGACTAACCATTGAATTATAAAAAGACAATAACACCCTGGTCGGTTTGGCTCAGCAATCACAGTGTTGGCCCTCGGACCAAGGAGTCATGGGTTCGATTCCGGTCAAGGGCATGTTCCTCAGTTGAGGTTCTGAAGTTGGTCCCCAGCCCTGGTCGGGGTGGTGCAGGAGGCAACCAATCGATCTGTCTCCCTCGCATCAATGTTTCTCTCCTCTCTCTCTCCCTCCCTCCATCCCACTCTATCTGAAGATAAATGGAAAAGTATCCTCTGGGGAGGATAAGAAACAAATTAAAAAGACAATAATCATCCATAACACTGCTGAGAACACAGAGGCACAACAGAAGTGGGTTTATGACCACTGATATAACAGGGACAAAGAAGACGGGTATAAGAGACCACTTGAAAGGCTTAAAGGACTACAAATATCAGAATTAATAATGAAAGATTCAAAAGAAAGAAAACCATAAAACATTGGATTCGACTTAACGAGATATGAAGAAAAATTAGAAAGGTGACGCTGCAGATTTGATATGTAACATGAGTTTAAAAAAAGAAAAAGTATGTTTCTTCTTTTTAAAAAGATACAAAATACACACATACTCTATGGGCTCTGTTTTAAAGTCTCCACAAAGCTGTCATTTTAAAAGGCTTAACTTTTTATGAGAATTGATAGAACCCAAGTAAATATAGCTTACAATAATACTAGTTATTTAACTAGGCCAACACTAAACTTTAAAAGGGAAAACCCACAAAAATTACTTCTGCAGCGCAAATGCAACCCACGAAAGTTCTTAAAAAAATCATTTTTACTTACAATTGGCACTGATCACCTTTTATCCCTTTAGTCGTGCAGAAACATTTTCCGGTGTGCATATGACAGATATTTGCATGGCCACTGCATGTACAAGCTGCAAAGTCAAAACCAAAATGATACTGAATATTCTCCATCACAAATGAGTATCACATTTCAGGGAAGGTTTCATTATCTCATTTTCATACCGTGCATTTTCCTCTTCCCATCTAAAAAGTAGGGTTACCATATAAGTTGTTTTTAAATAAAGGGAAGTACATTCACGTCTTTAAAAACTTTGTGAAACTCTTTCAAGTCCTTGGGGTATTTATGGATCCGAGTATTTATCTCATTCTTCTTTGGGCTTCTTTTCACTTCTCCTTTGGACACTACTCAGTAACATGGGTCTTAAACAGCACAAGAGCTTTGGAGGCAAGCAGCTTAGCTTCAAAGTGTACATCTATAATCCCTAGATATTGGACCTTGGGAAATTTATATAACCTCTCTAGGCTTAGTTTCTTCATTTGCAAAAGGAAACTAATCACACTTAGCCGTCAGGATTTATGTGAGAATTAAATGATGCAATGCATTTCAAAATACCTAACACAGATCAAGCGCTTAATACATTTATTATTTCTTTTATTCTTGCTTCCAACAATAAAAATATAGTTATATATTATGTAAAAAAGTGTCTTTTTTTTTTCCCTCACCCGAGGACATTTTTTGTTCAGATAGAGTGGGAGGGAGAGAGAGGAAGAGAGAGAGAAAGAGAGAAACATCGATGTGAAAGGGACACATCGAGTGGCTGCCACCCGCATGACCAACCAGGACCGGGGACAAACTGCAACTGAGGTACGTGCCCTTAGTGGGAACCAAACCTGGGTCTCTGTGGACCGCAGGCCGACGCTCTAACCACTGAGCCAAACGGGCCAGGGCAAAAAGTGTCTTTTTGTTTGCCCTAATATTGCCCTTTTTTTTCCATCTTTTTTTTTTTTATCCTCACCCGAGGACATTTTTCCATTTTTGTTCAGGTAGAGTGGGAAGGAGAGAGAAGAACAGAGAGAGAGAAACATCGATGTGAAGGGACACATCGAGTGGTTGTCACCCGCACAACCGACCAGGGCCGGGGACAAACTGCAACGGAGGTACGTGCCCTTAGTGGGAACTGAACCCGGGTCTCTCCGGACCGCAGGCCGACGCTCTAACCGCTGAGCCAAACCGGCCAGGGCTCCATCTTAATTTTGAAAGTATTACAGATGTTTCCCCTTTTTGCTTCCACTGACCCCTTCCTCCCTGCAGTCACCCCCTTCCTGCTTTTCCCACGCTACTGTCTGTGTCCACTGGAGATGCATATATGCATGTAGGTTCTTTGGTTTATATCTTCCCACCCACCCCCACCCCTCTTCCCTCTATGGTTTGTCAGTCTGTTCCTACTAACATGCCTCTGGATCTACTTTGATCGTCAGCTTATTTTGTTCATTATATTCCATAAACAAGTGAGATCATGTGGTACTTGTCTTTTCCTGACTGACTTATTTCGCTTAGCATAATACTCTCCAGGTCCCTCCACGTCGTCTCAAAGGGTAAGAGATCTTTCTTACAGCTGCATAGTACTCCATTGTGTACATGTACCACAGCTTTTTATCCACTCATCTACTGATGGACACTTGGGCTGCTTCCAGACCTTAGCCATTGTAAATAGTGCTGCTGTGAAGATAAGGATGCATATATTCTTTCTGATTGGTGTTTCAGGCTTCAACGGAAAAAAATTAATAAATGGGACTACATCAAACTAAAATGCTTCTGCATGGCAAAAGAAACCAGCATCAAAATGAAAAGGGAACTCACTCTTTGGGAAAACAATTTGCCAATGATACTTCAGATAAGGGGTTAATATCCAAAATATATAAAGTACTCATACAGCTCAACAAAAGAAAGACAATCCAATTTTAAAAATGGGCGGAGGATCTGAATACACACTTCTCCAAACAGGACGTGCAAATGGCCAAGAGACATATGAAAAAATGCTCAATGTCACTAATCATCAGAGATGCAAATTAAAACAACCATGAGGTATCACCTCACACCTGTCAGAATGGCCACCATCAACAAATCATCAAACAAGTGCTGGAGAGGGTGTGGAGAAAAGGGGACTCTAGTACACTACCGGTGGGAATGCAGACTGGTGCAGCCACTATGAAAAACAATACAGTGCTTTCTCAAAAAATTAAAAATGGAACTGCCACCTGGCCAGTTTTGCTCAGTGGTTAGAGCATCAGCCTGCGGTCCGGAGAGACCTGGGTTCGGTTCGCGCTAAGGACACGTACCTCGGTTGCAGTTTGTCCCCGGCCCTGGTTGGGTTGTGCGGGTGGCAGCCACTCGATGTGCCCCTGTCACGTCGATGTTTCTCTCTCTCTCTCCCTCCCACTCTATCTGAACAAAAAACGAACAAATGTTCTCAGGTGAGGATAAAAAAGAAAAATGTCCTCGGGTGAGGATAAAAAAAAAAAATGGAACTGCCATTTGACCCAGTGATCCCACTTCTCAGGAAAGATCCTAAGAAGCCAATATTGTCCTTTTAAACCTCTGAGGTCATTCTCCACTTTAGTTTTCCAGAACCAATTGAAACATAACATGGTATAATAGCTAAACACAGTCGATTTGGTTTATATGAACTCGACTGATTTTCTTACTTTGATCAACATTCCTTGTTAAAGAGCACTTTGTTGTGCCCAACATCCAAAGAATTGGTAGGTTCTAGTTTCTACATGTCCCCTCCTTTTCACTGTGATAGTATCTTCAAACACTGTCACTTATGTTCTCTGACTGACACCAACACAATCATATCTGATCTCGCCACTTCAGTATTTCTACGCTCCAACTCATTTTCCAGTCCTGAGACATAATCTAAAGAGACAAGGCTCACCATGTCACTAGCCCTTTTAAGGACCTTTAATGAGAACTGCTGTCTGTGCTCCTGCAGGTAAACCCTTCTATTGACAACAATGAAATAATGTGGTCTTGTCCAGTTTCACATGCACATATAAAAAAAGCTGAGTCACTGGTTTTGATCAAATATAAAGTATTCTAGAACACTGTTTCCTGCTAAATGTTTATGATTATTTGCTTTAAAAAATAGATAACTAATGTAGAGTAAATATACGCACCTCTACACACACATAAAAATAAGTTGTTATTAGGTAGATTTTTAAGAACCTGGGTTTTTTTCTGAAAGAGATTTCTATATACAAGTGAATTTTTCTTCATAAAGAATATTTAAATAAACCCGTGTAATTTTCCCTTAGGTTTGTAGAATTAACTACGGAAACACAACGTGTGAGAATTACAGAAATGAATGACAAGGTGTAGAAATGTAAGAAAACAAACAAACAATCGTCAAGCACTAAAGGGACACAGAAGTATACTGATACCACGCATGCAACTTCATAAGCAGTAAGTGGATGCACTATGCTGTCTCTTCATATAACTCGGACAGTTTCATGTTAATACTGCCTTGCATTCAGGACTTCACTATGGGCATCGTGCACATTACTATTTTAAACCTGGATGAAGCTTTTATGTATCCTTTGTGACAGTACTGGAAATAGTTAACACTTGCAGAGTTTCTTACAAGAATTATCATCGTATAGCAGCTTTAATAATTTCTGAGGCAAAAAAAAAATATTGTGTTAAAATACCTTTTAATGTAAGCTCATTTTGAGAGAATTCCCTTGTGGTGCTGTACTTCGAGCTAAAATGGCACAAATGTATTTTAAATTCAATTGTTTAAAATTTATGCTTCATGACAGTGTTGAAATTATTCTGTTGTTGTCAGCATTTGAGGTTATCTTTTTATGCTGAATAAGCACCCATGAAATCAGGCAGTGGCCTTTTGCTTGGTGAATTTTATATGATGATTTTATAGCCGGGACATCCACTAGAGGGCCATTATGTGGTCACACAATATTTCTGTTCCCCTATAATATAAAGTTGCAATATCAACTTATAACCAAAACTAAACAATAAGCAGAGGGGGAGGAAAGATGATGTAAGGGTTATTCAATACTAACCAAGTGTCAAAAGTTGAAGTCAAAGTTGAGTTTAAGTTGGGATGGAAAGGAGAAGTCTATGCCAATCAAAAATAGGGAGGGAGACCTTGAGGAAGGGGGGACTAGATGAGAGGTGCTAACCTCAGCCAGGGCAAGTTCCCCAGCCCCCAAAGGTTCAAGGATTCTCTTTCCAGCAGTTTCCTGAAACTCAGCCAACAGACAAGTCTTTTAAAAGGCATGTCACAGGAAAAGCAGTAATCTGCATCTTCCGATGCCCATAAACAAGGGTCACCGGGGGGCACCTAAGAAGATGGAGTGGAGAACACCTAGCGTGGGTGGGCATCTGAGAGGAACACCGCGGAGGAAAATGAAGGGTCGCAGAGATCTAGTACCGAGAGAGGGCAAACCAGTTAAACACGGGACAGCAGCGGGGGCAACAGAGTTGCTTTTCGGTCATGCAGTTCTCCACGATTCAAAAGGGCTTTCACGGTTAATTAATGTGATTAGATTTATATAAGAATGCTATTCTGAACACTATCTTTGATCAAAGCATAATTTCCATGGTTATACCACATTGTAAATATCTCCATATAAGTATATGATTATTCACTTGCTGGCCTCTCTCTGGAATGCAGAAAACCTCAGGCTGGCTTTTCTGACACACAGGATGATAATGCGTACCCAGAAAATGCAAACTTTTAATTTTGTTCTGTCAAAACAACTCATGAAACCAAAATTTCCAAGTCGAGTGAGTTTCATTTATCTGCACCTTTAGATTATTCAGGTCAATGCTCCCAGTTTGAGAGATTAAACATTTTACTTTTACATTTAAAATGCTCGAATTCATTTGTTTTAAATTTTCTGCTTCTATGAACAGTCTGCAATATGTGAGAAGAGTTTAGAAAAAGTTCTCCCATCCTATTAGAGAAAGAGGAGTTAGTCTTCCATTTTACTGTCCTCCAGTCTCAGAGAACATCTATGTCATAGCCAAGTGTGTTTATTAAAGCGTCAGTACTTCCGGAACAGTCTCTATGGACAGGTGTTCTAAATATGCCAAAAAGGAAAACATAGGAACCAAAGGCAAAAACACAGAGCTGTCACTGTGCTGAAAGAACCCGTTTCTTCCCTAAACTAAAAAATAATAAGAGTTTCTTCATCACTATTAAAAAAAATAAATATATATATATATACACACATATATATGTATAAATATATATAATTTCAGATAGGCACAGCATTATATAGAGATAGGCAAAATTAGGTTCATGGTTGTGAGTATGCAAAACAGAGTTTATCTTGTATTATTTATTAATTCTTATATTATTTTTACATATAAACTGTAAACCTACTTTTGCCTATCCCTGTACATTAGAAAGAAATTCAGATATTATTCAAGAACCAAGGGAAAGAATAAAAATGAACTAAAAGACATAAATTAATAAATATAAAAGTAAACTTTACTAAAATCAATTATAAATACAATGGTAAAATATTAAGAATTAATTCATAATACCAACTAAGCCTATTAAATACCTTGCAATGGACTAATTCAAAAGAGTAAAACCTGGTTTTGGAAGATTTAGTCTTATAGGATTGCAAATTTTTTTTTTTTTTTTTTAATCCTCACCCGAGGATATTTTTCCATTTTTTGTACAGATAGAGTGGGAGGGAGAGAGAGGAAGGGAGAGAGAGAGAGAAACATCGACGTGAAGGGACACATCGAGTGGCTGCCACCCGCACGACCAACCAGGGCCGGGGACAAACTGCAACCGAAGTACGTGCCCTTAGCCTTAGCGGGAACCAAACCCGGGTCTCTCCGGACCGCAGGCCGACGCTCTAACCGCTGAGCCAAACTGGCCAAGGCTGCAAATTTTTAAATGTCTCTATATTTCATGATTTAGAGAAGTTTTTTTCCTATAGTACATGTTTTTTATGAATAATTGAGTAAAACATATATAAAGATATAAAATATTTTAAGATTAATAAGTTATAGCTTAGTTGTCTTACATTTGGAGTAAATTATAATGAAAAATATACAACTCATGATAATTACATAAAAATGAAGATCATAAATTGCCCTCAGCTCTCAAGGGCCTACTCAGATCCTTCCATCAGAATTAATCTCTTTGTCAGTGATTCTATCATTCGATTTCTTTATCACATTATTATAACATCCATACAATATATGTAAGTTTAAGTCCTGATACAGTACTTGCATATAGTAAGTACTCAATAATGATGGAAGTCAAGGATATTCCTTTATTGCAAAGCAGTGTAGTGCACTGAGTGTTGAGGCATTGCAGTATATTGATCTATTTACTTAATAAACATAAAGTAACAAAATACAATGATTCCAAATGCGGAAGCCTCAATTCTGTAGCTTCCATTGTGCCTATAACTACAGCATCTTGGACACAACACTAAGCTGTGGCTTTTGGCTAAGGACTACTGAATCCTCCCTGTCCGCACTAACATAACGTCTGCATGAAGAGTAGTAAGGCCTAAGCATCAGACATCTTTTCCTTCTTACTAGCAGTACACTCTCTGGTATTGTACTTAACTTCTTTGTGCATGGGTCTGTGTGTAAAATGAGAACAAAGGCGATACCTCCCATACAGTTATTGTGAAGCTCAGATGCAATAATGAATATAAAACTATGAGTACATTAACACAGAAAATGGAAAAGGTCAGCCAATTCATCTGTATTAGAGCTTCGAACAGGTCAATGCATTCATTCCATATCACAACACTTCAATCCAGCGGTCTTCATGAGCACCAAGCCCATTACTGGCTGAGCAATTCTGTTGCCTGGAAGGAGCCCATCATTCTCCGTGTTTCTCAACCCTGAGGGCATAGCAGAGTCATCTGAGAAGCCTTTGAAAAGAACCAATGCCTGAGAATCACCCGAAACCCCAACCCACATTCTGATGTCATTATTTTAGGGAATGGCCCAGACATCCATATTTGTTCAAAGATGTCCAGGTAGTTTTAATAGGAAGGTAGTGTTAAAATTTTTATCTAGACCAAGCTAAGGCCCAAATCTCTCTCTAAAGCTTCCTCTTCATTCCATAGCCAACAACTGAGACCTTTCCGTGGGCGCTATATAAGTAATCTCCATTTAGAAAAAATAGATAAATAATCTGAGAGAGAAACAATCAAAGACCAATCTAGAGAGATAAAGGATTACCATAAAATTACAACATAACAGGAAAATTTTTAAGGAAAGACCAACATTCTTTTAAAAGTAGGGGGAAAGAAAGAGCAGGGTAGAGAGGGAAATAGAGAAAAGGAGGGTTGAGTGAATGAAAATGTGAAGAGAGCAGCTAATTCTTAAATATTGTTTCAATGTGTTTCAATTCCTATTACGTGTGCCTACATTACGTATGCTCTCGCTTGACCTTTACAACAATCCGATGAAGTATCATCACCTCCCTTCACATTTGAGGACAAGGGACAAGGAGGCACTGGAGGGTTAAGTTAATGAGCCAGATCATATATTTCCATTGTGGCAGAGTTAGGATTTCAGCCCAGGACTGATTCCAAACCCATTCTCTTCAACATTAGGCCACACTGTCACCCTGTCCAAACAAAACAGAACAATCTTACACAAATCTGCAATTATTTTATTGCTAAAGTCAAAGTGGTAGATTTCCATTAAAAAAACAATCTATCAGCAGTGATTACTTTTGAATAGTGAGGTTATAGGTAATTGTTAACTTTAATCTATCTGTATTTAATAAATTTCATATAATTAACACGAATTCATTTTGAAATAACAAAAGTGAAGTTTTTTTAAGTGTATCAGAATTTTTATAGTTTACATAGTCCCTAATATACTATTTTCCAAAAATATTGACACTCCGGAAAAAGGTTCTTTTTTAAAAGATATATTTTCCGCCCTGGCCTGTTTGGCCCACGGACCAAAGAGTCACAAGGTTGATTCCTGGTCAAGGGCACGTACCTCGGTTTCTGTTAGGTCCCAACCCTGGTCGGGGTCATGCGGGAGGCAGCTGGTCTCTCTCACATATTCCTCCCTCCCTCCCTCCCTCCCTCCCAGCCTCCCTCCCCCCATCCCTTCCTTCCTCCCACTCTATCTTCTATCTGAAAATCAATGGAAAAATATCCTCTGCTGAGGATTAGGAAAAAAAAAAGTTAAAAAGTATGTAAGTACACACACATGCGCGCGCACACAGAAGTAAAATACAAGCATCACCTGTGCACTGGCCCCCGTTGGTGGGATCTCCGTAGTACCCGGGCATGCAGTCCTGGCACTGCTTCCCCGTGGTGAGATTTTTACACTGCTCACACACATTGTCGTTGATGCACGTGCTGTGCCCATTACACTGGCAAGCTAAAATAACAGTAAAAGAAAAAATACATATATGTAACAAATATCTATGTAACAATGCCAAGTAAAATATCAAGAAAAAGACTGCGTTTTAAAAATCTGAATGTCAGCCTAGTCCAAGGACATTTCCCACGTTGTGTGGACGTATAACATATGTGGCTCAAAACGTCAAAGCAGGACAACATATACAATACATTCTACTCAGAAAGTTGGCCTTATATTCTATAAAATTTAATGGTTAGAGGTAAATTGAAACAGAAGTAATAGCTAAGCTGGGAATAGTTTTAAATATATTCTTAAAAAACTCACAAGTATGTTGTCTATGAAGTTACATAAACAAAAGACCGAATAATACAGCTTTGATAAGTATTAGAATTCACCTTAATTACATTTATACATAATAACAAAGGATTGATCACTTTAGAAAATTGTGTGGTAACCGGTTCTTACCTCAAGAAAATATACATAAAAAATGAACAAAAATAGTACTGTAAAATTAATTTGCGTTATTGTTTAACTTCTTTGGGCAAGAAAAGCTTCAAGGCTTAACTGAAATTCTACAAGCATGCGAACTAACATAATCAGACTCAAAGCATGAGGTTTTTTGTGTGTGTTTTCATAATATGAGATTTATTACATTTTCACATTAATATTATAATGGAATCCAACAATTTCAGATGAGAGATAAAGTTCATATATGAAACCTTATGCCTTCATTGCTTATTTGGAGCATAATATTAATTTACTTTGGTAACTGTTTGTTCAAACATCATCCTCATTATCACCTTCACAATCTCCTTCATCATTATTACAACTGAGATAGCATTTAACTGAGCTGACACGCTAGTCAGAAAAGCAATGTTCAGGCAATTCCAACTGTGTGTGGAAGGCATGTATTCTGATTGGTCAGTTTACATATTACATCAGTGTTAATATATTGTAAATACCACCCCATTGCCAGAGAGTGTACTAGGTAATATGCATGGGTTATACATGAATTATATAATTTAATCCTTATAACAATTCTATGTGAAAGATAACATTTTTAGGACCATTTCTAAGATGAGGAAGCCTAGGTGGTTAAGTTACTACCCAAAGTCACACAGCTAATCAATGGCAGAAAGAAATGCATAATCAGGATGTATGAATCAAAAGACCAGACACTGAATACCATACCTCTACTGTGTGAAAAATTTGGAAATGAGAGGGAAATCCCAAGAGGCTAGCATAAGGTCATCAACATTAGTTAACATCAATGGGTGAAGAAATACACCCACATAAAGAGTGAGAACCAAATGTCTTTATCTTACAAACATTTTCAGAGACATAACTCTATTGCAACATAGTATTGTAATGACACAGAGCTATCATGGAAAATGTAAAATCATCATCATCCTTTAAATTGAGGAAATTTCTAATATAAGTTTTAACTTTTATCACATATTACATTATGAAACAGGAGAAAGTTTAATAACAAAGGAAAATGTTCCTGACAAATTAAGTAACATAAAAATACAAAGCATCATGTTTAGAATGATCACAATTTTGTCTTTAAATGTGTAACTATGCCTATGAAAAAGTTAATGATGGCTACCTTAGTTTATTTAGTAAATGTTTCTGCACCATCAATTTTCTACAATCAATTCATATTACTTTTATAATCTGAAATAATAATGTTAACCTTCATTTTTTTAACATTGTGCTTGAAAGTTTAAGGTATTGTTTCATAGAAAATTTTTGGTGAAAGCAATAAGGTCCATTCACTCAAATAAAAACAAAATTTCCTTAGTGCTTGCTGTGTGTCAAGCATCACCTGAAAAAATCAAAATAAGAGATTGTTTTCGGTATTTTGTGAAACTCCTGACTACATTTTTTCATCAGAAGAACAAATGCTTTAACTGCTGAATAAGAGGGCTAAGTTTAGCAACTGCATCTAAACCTCATAAATTTCCACTGAAATAATAAGGAAACGTATCAGCAAAACAACAACAACAACAAATTGGGTATGGTAACAACTACACCAATAAAACTAGAAAGCAGCAATCTGCATTACCTCTGGAAATTAAGAGAAGACCACTAGTATAATACCACTCAAGCATCCCTTTCAAAAGTAAGAGGTTCTAAAGGCAGTTCGGGGCCATATGGCAATCTATAAGCATATCACTTGTATGCCTCCATACAACTGCTGGAGGGTATGATACAAGGACGTCTGATGTCTCATGCAGTGAATATACCACACAGAAAGCGGGTTTATTTTAGACCTAAACACAAGCTAAATTTCCAACAAAAAAGAGAAAAGAAAGAAGAGTCATTGCCATAGCTTATCATTAATACAGTAGCAATAGCAAAGAAGGAGGCACATTACAGAAAGCCAGACCCAGGAGATATAATCTCTGGCATACAATCCAAAAATGAAATTAAGAAAACAACTCCATTTGCAATATCAGGAAAAATTAAATACTGAGGAATTCCTTTAACCAAAGAAATGTAAAACTTGTTTGTTGAAAATTATAAAACATCATTGAAATAAATTAATGTAAAGATGTTCTGTACTCAGGGATTGGAAGATTTAATACTGTTAAGATAGCAATTCACTCTAATTGATCTATAAATGTAATGCAGTATCTATCAAATTCCAACAGACTTTTTTATAGAAATAGACAAGCAGATCCTAAAATTCATATTAAATCACAAAGAACCCAGGCTAGCTAAACAATCTTGAAAAAGACAAGCAAAACTGAAGGGTTGCCATGTTCCAATTTCAAAACATACTCCAAAGATACAGTAATCAAATCAGTATGGATTGGCATATAAAGAGACATATAGATCACTGGACTAGAATTAGGTCCAGAAATAATCCCTTATAACCATGGTCAACTGATTTTCAACAAGGGTGCCAAGACCATTAAATGGGGAACATTAATAATCTTTGCAGCAAATGGTACTAGAATAACTCAATATCCACATGCAAAAGAATGAATTTGGACCCATACATCACACCATATATAATAATAAACTAAATATAGATCAAAGACCTAATGTAAGTGCTAAAATTACAAAAATGTTACAAGAAAATACAGATGTCAATCTTCATTACTTTGGATTGGGTTTCTTAGAACTGACATCAAAAGAACAAGCAAACAACAGAAAATATATAGATATATTGGCCATCAAAATAAAAATCAACTTTTGTGGCTCAAAGGACACCATCAAGAAAGTGAAGAGACGACTCACAGAACAGGAGAAAATATTTGAGATCATACCTAGAATATATAAATAACCCTTAAAATTCTACAATTAAAAAATATTTTAAATGAACAAAGGATTTGAATAGACATTTTCCAAAGAAGATATATGAATGGCTAATAGCACATTTAAAAAGTATCATTAGTCATAAGGGAAAGGGAATTCAACAGCACAATAAGCTACCCACCTACTAGGGGGTAATAATCAGAATGACAGACATTACTAATGTAGGTGAGGGCAGGGCAATCAGAACCCTCAGACACTGCTGCTGCTAATTTAAAACGGTGCAGTAGCTCTAGAACTGCACCTTCTGGCAATTCCCTGAAATGTTACATATAGATCCATCATATGATAAAAATTCCACTCCTAGGGACATACCAAAAATAAATTAACTGATTAACTAATTAAAACGTATCCACATAAACACTTATTTAAAATGCTCATAGTGTCATTATTCACAACAGCAAAAAAGGTGGCAATAAGCCAAGGATCCCTCAACTGATGAACATATAAATATGTGTTATGCAACTGAATATGACTCAACCATAAACAAAAATAAGGGCTGATATATGCTGTAACATTGATGAACCTTAAAAACATATGCTAAGCGAAAGAAATCAGACACAACAGAAAATAAAAGGTTGCAGTTAGACGAAATGTCCGAAATAGACAAATCCACACAAAAAAAAAATGTAATTTAGTGGTTTTCAGGTGCTGGGGGAAGGAAGACTAGGCAGTGGCTATTCAAGGGTATGTGACTTTGTTTGGGGGAACCACATGATAGTAATAGTTGCACATCTATTGATTATCTTAAAAACCACTGAATTAGATACTTCAAAATGGTAAATTTTGTGGCATATGAGTTATGTCAATGAACAAGCAAAATAGAATTATATGAGCTGAAAATAATTTGCACAAATTTTTGCCATCTCCGTGTGTACAAGTTTCATAATGTTACTTTTTCCTTGTTTTCATCAAAAAAGTTAGATTCTTCCCACCATTTTAACATGATCTGGCATCAAGATTTTTTCAGAACAACAGAAGTAAGTGATGATATAGAAATTCTGGCTTAGATCTCAAGAAGTATGCAAACTCTGCTCTCTTCTTGGAATTCTAGTCTAAGAACCCCGTGCATAGAAGCCCCGTCTATACTACTGGAGGATGACAGGTAAGTACAGCAGAGAGCAGAAATGTGCAGCTGAGGACCCCGAGAGGAACCAGTCAGCTCACACACCACCAGACATGTGGGTGAAGCATCTGAGACCATCCCAAACCAGTCAAACTGCCAGATAACTGTAGTCATATGACAAAAACCAGGAGAAACTAGAACTGCTTAGCAGAATTCAGCAAAAATAGATGATGCAGAATCATGGATCTAACTTCTTTAATACAGTGAGCTTGGGTACTCCGTTAAGTAGTAATAAATAACTGAAACATAGATTTAAGAGAATATTGGAAACATCCAAAGAAAGAATTAGTGCACTGAAATACAGACCAAAGGAGATGCAAGGATATAAAATACAGGAAAGTCAGGAAGAAAGGGACATAGTGGAAAAGCCTGCAGAAGTGACGTGAACACCTGCAAACAGAAAACCAAGGGGCAAATGGAACGACTGCATTATCGATGAGCTAACGGCAGAAGTTTCGAAAATGACGAAAAAACATAAAGCCAGAGAGAAAATAAGCCATACAATTCATAATCGCAATAAAAAATAAAACTAATACTTAGGTACATCATATTAAAATTGCTGGCATCT